CTATTCCACCTTCCCCCAGGGGGGGGGGTATAATATACATGATATTAATTATCACTTTTGGGAAAAATGGTATATTTTTTTTAGTACAATTTTAAGTGTATTTTTTTACTCTTATATAATTTAAGCGTTTCACATTTTTTTTTTTTAAAATTGGGGATTTGGGGGTTTTAAAGTTGATGACAGCACAAAATAATGGGCTTTTAATTTCCCATTGAGGCAGGGGGATTTTCCTTATACTAAGTAAACATTATCCAGCCATCTTCATTACCTCCAGCAGCTTTCATGGTTTTTTCTTTCTCCCCTGAGATTTTTAGATCAGCAGGACAATGTTGCATTCTACAAGTGAGTATGCTTTATTTCAATCTGTTCTTATTATTACACTTTCAATGAAGAAAGAAAAAAAATTCCAAGTCGGTGCTGTAATTTTGATGTGATTCATACAAAGTATTGGGAGGACAAACTGTCCGTAACTATGATCCTCGGCTCACGGAAGGAAGCATGAAACTTAACATCTTTACATGGGCCATGCTGGACAGCCATTTGTTCTGTAATATTAAATTTTCCAAGTTTCTGAACACAGATTCTAAGAGCATTACAAATTCATTACAAATTATGTTCCCAGGTTATAAATTTGGGGGGGAGGTATGGTGTGGTATCAGACAACTACAAGATAAACGACTAGACATGATGCCAAGTTGTAAGATAAATGGATGAACTCATGTCTGGATTGAACAAAGCTAAAAGAATTGTTATCACAATAATTTTTTTTTTTTCATGAACCTCTGGAAAAAGAGTGCATATTAAACTTTACACAATTGTACTATGTAAACATTGTACTATGTTTACATTGTACTATGTATTAGTATTACATGAAGTGTAATACTTGCTTACTTAACCACTTCAAGTCCGGACACTTTTATAAAACCCCCTTCCTGTCCGGGCCAATTTTCAGCTTTCAACACTAACCACTTTGAGAATGACAATTGCGCGGACATGCAACACTGTACCCGTATGAATTTTTTTAGCATTTTTGAGACCGATAAAAGCTTTTTTTTTGGTGGTTATTTATTCACCACTGGGATTTTTATTTTTTTTTGCTAATATAAATAAAAAGTCAAAAATAATTTTTAAAAAAGTATTTTCCTTATTAAATTTTGCAAATAAATAATATTTCATCATAATCTTGGCCACATGTATTCAGTTATCTTTTTAATAACCCAAATTAGTTTATAACCAAAACTTATAATTTTTATATTATTATTTATGGGTTTTTTTCTACATACTGTCATCCTAGCAGTACAGTGTCACCATGGTGACACTGTACTACTTGTGGGGGGTGATGAAGATTTTTTTTTTTTTTTTTACACTGATTGCTTTTACACCCATAAAAGGCTGTAAAAGCAATCATTTCTTCTCTCTGGCTGCATTCCTGCAGCCATTGAGAACTACTGTGTGAGCTGTGATTGGTCACAGCTTGTCACATGGTACAAGACTGTTGTGAATAGCCTTGTACCATGTGACCTCTGTGATCATTTCACAGATTTCACAAGTAGTAAGCAATGATGTCAGAGGTGACATCTTGCTTACTACTCTGCATGTGATCACTGATTGGCCAATCACATGATCTGGACCTCGCACAGAGGTCCTGTACGACAATCGGTGTTCCACTGTGTCCGGAGGACACAGCAGGCACCGGATCGTGGTGCTGCGTGCTCCCAGGGAGCGCACACAGTCCATAATGTCGGGTGCCGTTTATGAACGGTAACCCGCCACTGGACTGCCACCATCCTGCCATTTATAAACAGTGGCCCACAAAGAAATGATCAGTCTAAGAATCAAATGTTCGGTGTTTTGTAACACTGAGAGACAGAATAGCAACAAAAAAATCAAAATAAATGCATGTCTAACAAATTATGCACTGATTTGAATGTTCATGAGGGAAATAAATATTTGATCCCCTTCACAAAACATTACTTATTACTTGGTGGCAAATCCCTTGTTGGCAATCACAGAGGTCAGACGTTTCCTGTAGTTGGCCACCAGGTTTGCACACATCTCAGGAGGGATTTTGGCCCACTCCTCTTGGCAGATCCTCTCCAAGTCATTAAGGTTTGGTGGCTGACATTTGGCAACTCAAACTTTCAGCTACCTCCACAGATTTTCAATCGGATTAAGGCCACTCCAGGACCTTAATGAGCTTCTTCTTGAGCCACTCTGTTGCCTTGGCTGTGTGTTTTGTGTCATTGTCATGCTGGAACAACCATCCACGACCCATTTTTTAATGCCCTGGCTGAGGAAGAAGGTTCTCACCCAAGATTTGACAGTACATTGCCCTGTCCATCGTCCCTTTGATGAGGTGCAGTTGTCCTGTCCCCTTAGCAGAAAAACTCCCCCAAAGCAGAATGTTTCCACCACCATGTTTGACAGTTGGGATGGTCATAGGCAGCATTCCTCCACCTCCAAACACGGCGAGTTGAGTTGATGCCAAAGAGCTCGATTTTCGTCTCATCTGACCACAACACTTTCAACTAGTCCTCCTCTGCATCATTCAGATGTTCAGTGGCAAACTTCAGACGGGCCTGAACATGTGCTTTCTTGAGCAGAGGGACCTTGAGGGCACTGCAGGATTTCAATCCTTGTCGGCGTAGTTTGTTACCAATTGTTTTCTTGGTGACTGTGGTTCCAGCTGCCTGGAGATCATTGACAAGATCCTCACGTGTAGTTCTGGGATATTTCCTCACTGTTCTCATGATCATTGACACTCCACGAGGTGAGATCTTGCATGGTGCACCAGACCTAGGGAGACTGACAGTTGTTTTGTGTTTCTTCTATTTGTGAATGATTGCACCAACTGTTGTCACCTTCTCACCAAGCTGCTTGGTGATAGTTTGGTAGCCCAGTCCAGCCTTGTGTAGGTCTACAATCTTGTCCCTGACATCCTTGGGCAGCTCTTTGGTCTTTGCCATGGTGGAGAGTTTGGAATCTGATTGTTTGATTGCTCCTGTGGACAGGTGTTTTTTATACAAGTAACAAAATGAGATTAGCAGCACTTCCTTTAAGAGACTGCTTCTAATCTCAGCTTGTTACCTGTATGAAAGACACCTGGTAGCCAGAAATCCTGCTGAATGATAGGGGATCAAATACCTATTTCCCTCATGAACATGCAAATCAGTGCATAATTTGTTAGACATGCATTTCATTTGAAATTTTTTGTTGCTTTTCTGTCTCTCAGTGTTACAATACACCTACCATTCGATTTTTAGACTGATCATTTCTTTGTGAGTGGGCAAACATTCAAAATCAAATACTTATTTACTTCACTGTACATATATTTTTTTTTATTAGTTTGTTTTAACAAATAATACATAATGGTATATTGTGGATATTCTGTTCTTAACATTATAGAGTTTGAGTTCATTGTATTGCAACGCTGTTATGTTACAGAAGACGTGAGATAATAAGAAGTCTCAGTAAAATGACCTCATCTTTTTGTAGGATGTATAGGTAGATTTTTTTTTTTCTTCTCCAGAATCACTTAACCTCCCTGGCGGTATTCCCGAGTGTAGCTCGGGGGTAACATTTCAGTACCAAAAGCGGTAACCCCGAGCTACACTCGGGAATACCATGCGGCGCTGCTCCGGCATGTGTTCTTCACTTACCTTACCCTGCGCTCCCACGATGTGTCCCCTGCAGCATCCCCGGCCATCTCCTCCGGCCGATGCCGGCATCCGGCTTCTGTGTCCTGTCCCTGTGACGTCGGGACGTACGGGCGCCGCCGCCGCATGCGGCGGGAAATTTAAAAATTTTAAAAAATGTCATTTTTTTTTTTTTTTTCATTTTACACAGTAAAACATTGCTGTTTCAACCTATTTCACATACATATTGTCCCTAATGCTTTGTCCTGTGCCCTGCCTGCATTTTGTCTGTTCTTTCTGCCTGGAAACTGAGAAATGTCCATGGCGTCCAAAAAGTGTCCCTTTAGGTCAAAAGCGGTTTAGACCAGCTAGAGAACAGCGATAGTAAATCAGAACCACTTACAGAATTGAGTGATAATGATTCGTGGGGGAAATTCGTCATCAGAAACTGAAAACGATTTTGCGACTGAGCTCAGCAATGTGCGAACTTGGCGCTCTATTTCACATTTCAGTGTTTTTGGTTTGATTATATTATTGAATTAAATATTTTATTATTTTTATATTATTTTTTTATGATTATTTATTAAATTATAATTTATGATTTTGTGTTTCAAATTTTATCATACCCGGGATGTTTACTAGACTCTTTTTCGGACAGATTTCAGTGAGTTTTTCCTAAAAATTACAGCCTACAATAAAAAAAAAATACATATTTCCATGCAAAAAAATGGTACCGCTTTCAGCACCAAAAATCTGAAATAATCATACCGCCAGGGAGGTTAAAGTAATACAATATTTGCAGTGACATGTTTACCTGTCTGTCTGAAACTCTATAACTTTCATTTTCTTCAGTTAACTTATACTTGACTTATATCTCCAGCTAAATTGTTTAGTCCAATAATGGTCATGGTTAGCACAGGAGTTAATGTGAAGTAATTTTAACTGCAGTGTAAATTATTTTCATTTCAATTCTCTGGGGGGAAAGATTTTCCTTTAAATATCCCCAAAGCTAATTTTAGCTTCTTGTCAATGGTTTAGCTGGATATATACAGTTGTGTTCAAAATAATAGCAGTGTGTTGAAAAAAAGTGAATAAAGCTCCAAATCCTTCTAATAGCTTTTATTTCCATACACACAAATGCATTGGGAACACTACACATTCTATTCCAAATCAAAACATGAAGAAAAATATATCAAATTTGTGTTGTTCCTCTAAAAAAAATTGAAGAAAAGTGAATATTAGACTGTTCAAAAAAATAGCCGTGTTTGTATTCTTCTTTACAAACTCAAACATTCACTATATAAACTGAAAAATGTTTGAAGATTTTGCTTTCCTTTGAATCACTTAATTAATATTTGGTTGTATAAGCACTGTTTCTGAGAACTGCTGTACATCTGTGTTGCATGGAGTCAACCAACTTCTGGCACCTGTGAACAGGTATTCCAGCCCAGGATGATTGGACTACATTCCACAGTTCTTCTGTATTTCTTGGTTTTGCCTCAAACTGCATTTTTGATGTCACCCCACAAGTTTTCTATTGGATTAAGATCCGGGGATTGGGCTGGCCACTCCATAACGTCAATCTTGTTGGTCTGGAACCAAGATGTTGCACGTTTACTGGTGTGTTTGGGTTCGTTGTCTTGTTGGAACACCCATTTCAAGGGCATTTCCTCTTCAACATAAGGCAGCATGACTTCTTCAAGTATTCTGATGTATTCATACTGATCCATGATCCCTGGTATGCGATAAATAGGCCCAACACCGTAGTATGAGAAACATCCCCATATCATGATGCTTGCGCAACCATGCTTCACTGTCTTCACAGTGTACTGTGGCTTGAATTCAGTGTTTGGGGGTCATCTGACAAACTGTCTCCGGCCACTAGACCCAAAAAGAACAATCTTACTTTCATCAGTCCACAAAATGTTGCGCCATTTTTCTTTAGGCCAGTCAATGTGCTCTTTGGCAAATTGTAACCTCTTCAGCACATGTCTTTTTTTCAACAGTGGGACTTTGCGGGGGCTTCTTGCAGATAGCTTGGCTTCACATAGGCGTCTTCTAATTGTAACAGTACTCATAGGCAGGGGCGAACTGACCATTTGGAAACTTGGGCACTGCCCGAGGGCCCGGGGTCAGTAGGGGGCTCCATGAGATGCCCCTGGTACCTTTTTCATAGGCTTTTTTTAGTTTGGGCAAGGACACAGGGGCCCCATGATCCCCTATTGCCCGGGGGCCCCATGAGTTGTCAGTCCGCCCCTGCTCACAGGTAACTTTAGACCTTCTTTGATCTTCCTGGAGCTGATTGTTGGCTGAGTCCTTGCCATTTTGGCTATTCTTCTATCCATTTGAATGGTAGTTTTTTGCTTTCTTCCACGTCTTCCAGGTTTTGGTTGCCATTTTAAAGCATTTGCGATCATTTTAGCTGAGCAGCCTATCATTTTCTGCACTTCTTTATATGTTTTTTCCCCTCTCCAATCAACTTTTTAATCAAGGTACGCTGTTCTTCTGAACAATGTCTGGAACGACCCATTTTCCTCAGAATTTCAGAGAAAAATGCACTGTAACCAGCATGTACAACATTTGCTGCCTTCCTTCCTTAAATAAGGGCAATAATTGCCACCTGTTTTTCAAAGAATGAATGACCTCACTAATAGAACTCCACACTGCTATTATTTTGAACATGCCCCTTTCAATTAGTGATTCAATTACACAGAATCAGCAGCATGCATGTCATGACTGTTGGATCTGGTGGATTTCTATTACTCTACTACACCTGCTAGTAAATTATTTGCCATGTAGAAATATCATTTCTACCAAAAAACAGTGATTGATCAGGTTAGTGATGTCTGACTGCTATTATTTTGAACACAACTGTATATATATAACAAGGTAGACAACTTAGTGTAACAGTTGATCTTGACCTCAGATATATTCTAAGCTGATTGGATTGGCCTGTGTACGGTATTCCTAATCAATTCATGTCAAGTTACTCGTTGAGCTTTGAATATCTGGTTGTAGAGGGATCACGTGGTCGATTTGCATAGCTGTTGTCACATGTTGCAGAGTTACTGATAGTTTCTTACACTGCGACAGTTGGTTCTAATTCATTAACATTTTGAAAGTAATTGGTGGTTTGAATTTGTAACCATTATTTTGGATTAGATCATTGTACTGATTTGAATTGTTTATTATTTATCATTTCCTATTATATTTCATTATCGATTTGCACTGATTTTTATTATTAATAAATATATATTTTTGCATAGTATTGCTTTTTATTTCATCTTCAAATTAGCGCAAATAAATAACTCAGATTATCAATTGATTTATGAAAATTAGTAAGGAATCTCCTCAATTCCAGATCTCCGTCAGTTTTCATGAATTGTATACTGATTATTTTCTAAGAGCTAAAGTTCTGACAAAACACATTTGGAAAGCTCACTAGCTCAGGTTAGGCTGCTCAAAACACACAGAGCTACCCTCCATTGTGTGCTCAGCACCTTTTTTAACCGAAAAAAAGGCATTGCATTAGCCAGTAGCAGACCTCAAAGCTAAATGTATAACATCTGTGACTATGCATCAGAAGATTGTAGGTTCAACTCTTGCCTGGCGTGTCAAGTGCTATGATAATATATCTCCTGAAAAAGTGAACATTGCTTCACGAATCGCATCAAGTGAAAGGATATCAACTGGCTATTTCTATATCCATATATGTTATCATATTATTTTTTTATATAATGCGTGTAATTTTAATATGATTGTAATTATTATTATTATTATACAGTATTTATATAGCGCCAAAGGGTATGCTCAGCGCTGTACAGTAGCAAGGGGGACAGAACATGAGACAAGACAGTAACAATACAATACACGAGGGGTTCGAGGGCCCTGCTCTTTCGAGCTTACAATCTAGGAGGGAGGGGAAGGTGGTACAGGAGGATATGGCTGTGGGGGATGGAGTGGTGGGAGGAGTGGAGGAGGTTAGTTGTTAGGTGAGGTCGGGTGTTAGGGGAGGTTGGGGTAGGCTTCCCTGAAGAGGAGGGTTTTCAGGGTGCGCCTAAAGGTGAGGAGGGTAGGTGACAGTCTGATGGATTGGGGTAGGGAGTTCCAGAGGATGGGGGAAGTCCTGGAGAAGTCCTGTAATCGAGCGTGGGAGGAGGAGACCAGGGAGCTAGAGAGTAGGAGGTCCTGAGAGGAGTGGAGGGCACGGGTAGGGTAGTACTTGGGTATCAGGTCAGTTATGTAATTCGGGGCGGCATTGTGAACGGCTTTGTAGGTCAGAGTTAGCAGTTTGAATTTGATGCGTTGGGCAATCGGGAGCCAATGAAGGGATTGGCAGAGGGGGGAGGCAGATGTGGAGCGCTTGGTGAGGTGGATGAGTCTAGCCACTGAGTTTAGGATTGATTGGAGTGGGGATAGCGTTCGTTTGGGTAGGCCAGCGAGAAGGGAATTGCAATAGTCCAGGCATGAGATGATGAGGGACTGTACGAGTTGTTTGGTGGTGTCTGGGGTGAGGAATGTCCGTATCTTGGAGATGTTGCGGAGGTGGAGCCTGCAAGATCTGGATAGCAATTGGATGTGGGTAGGAAGGAGAGGTGGGAGTCCAGGGTGACACCCAGGACTTTGGCGTGTGGGGTGGGAGAGATGGTGGCATTGTTAGTAGTGATGGAGAGGATGGGGGTGGGGGCACTGGGTGGGGGGAAGACCAGGAGCTCGGTTTTGGATAGGTTAAGTTTGAGGAAATGGAGCGACATCCAGTCTGATATGTCGTTTAGAAGGTGGGCGATGCGGGCAGAGAATGAGCGGGTGAGGTTGACGGTGGAGAGGTATATTTGGGTGTCGTCGGCATAGAGGTGGTAATTGAAGCCGTGGGAGTGAATAAGTTTGCCAAGGGAGGAGGTATAGATGGAGAAGAGGAGGGGTCCGAGGACAGAGCCTTGGGGGACCCCAACAGAGAGGGGAGGGAGGGGGAGGTGGCAGTGTTGTAGGTGACGCTGAAGGAGCGTTGGGAGAGGTAGGAGGAGAACCAGGAGAGAGCAGCGTCCCTGATGCCAAGGGAGTGCAGTTTAGTAAGGAGGAAAGGGTGGTCAACAGTGTCGAAGGCCGCGGAGAGGTCGAGGAGCAGGAGGATAGAATAGTGGCCATTGGCTTTGGTGGTTAGCAGGTCATTGGTGATTTTAAGTAGGGCAGTTTCGGTGGAGTGGAGGGGGCGGAAGCCAGACTGTAGGGGGTCAAGGAGGTTGTTATCAGTGAGGTGGGCGCTTAGGCGATTGTAGACCAGGCGCTCAAGGAGCTTGGAAGTGAAGGGCAACAAGGAGATGGGTCTGAGGTTGTTAAGGTTAGTGGGGTCAAGGGAGGGTTTTTTGAGTATGGGGTTGATGTGTGCGTGCTTTAGAGGGGAGGGGAAGGTGCCAATGGAGAGGGAGAGATTGAAGATGTGGGTGAGGGAGCGAATGACGGAGGGGGGGTGACTGGAGGAGCTGTGAGGGGATAGGGTCCAGGGGGCAGGTGGTGAGGCAGGCTTCAGTGAAGACCTTAGAGACCTCCTGGGGGGTAGTTGGGCTGAAGGAGCAGAGTGTGGGAGATGATGATGTGCGGGGCGTTAGGTATAGTGGGGGGTAGTGCGACTATGAGGTCAGGGGAGGGGAGGGTTGAGGGGTTGAAGGAGGGCAGGAGGCTGGGTGGAGAGGTGGATTGTGAGTTGACAATGTCCTTACGGATTGCGTCAATCTTGTTTTGGAAGTGAGTGGCAATCTCGTGGGCGGTGAGTGAGGTGCTGGGTGGGGGTGGGGGGGGAGAGAGCAGGGATTTGAAAGTGGAGAAGAGCCGGCAGGGACAGGTGGAGAGGGTGTTGATAAGGGTTATGAAATAGGCTTGCTTGGCGGCGTGGAGGGAGGTGGTGTAGGCAAGGTAGGTGGCTTTATAGAGGGAGAACATGGGAGGGGATCTGGTTTTGCGCCATAAGCACTCCAGCGCGCGACTGCGTCGTTTGAGGCATTTCGTGTGGTCGTTTTGCCAGGGTTGAAGCGGTTAGGGGTGCCAGGGAGTCAAGGGCAGCTGACAGTGAGTTGTTATATGCAGCAGTGGTGGCCAGGTTGGGGCATGACAGAGGGAGGATGCTGTCATACAGACGGTCAGCTGCTGGGTGGAGATGGGTCGGGTTCAGATTGCAGAGGTTGCGGGTGATGGATAGACGCTTCGGGGGGTGGGGGGGGGGGGTTGAGGGAGGGGGAGAAGGAGAATGTGAGGAGGTGGTGGTCAGAGAGGGGGAAGGGGGTGTTAGTGAAGTTGTGGGGGGGCAGAGGTGGGAGAAAACAAGGTCCAGGGTGTTTCCATTGGAGTGGGTAGAGGACTGAGTGTGCTGTGTGAGCGCGAAGGAGGAGGTTAGAAGGAGGAGTTGGGAAGTAGCCAGGCTGTTGGCGTTGATCGGGATATTGAAGTCGCCTAGGATGATGGTCGGTAGCTCGGAGGAGAGGAAGAAGGGAAGTCAGGCGGCAAAGTCGTCAAGGAAGGGGGATGCGGAACCAGGAGGCCCGATAGATTACCCCAATCCGTAGGGGGGTGGGAGAGAAAAGCCGGATGCAGTGGGCCTCGATCATGTATTTGAATCAAAATTTGATTTTAAGAACATTGTGATTGGTTGTTGTTGTCAAATTTTGCATTTGAGGGTAAAATCCAAAGTCTGGGAGCATTTACCCCCTCTTTTCTAGCATTCTGGCCATTGAGATTTGTTTAAATAGGTTTAAAAAGGTCCACTAGCCTCACAAAAACGTGCACAACTTCTGGCATACTAGACTTGTTTCAATACACAAACTCACTAAAACTTACCATTGTACGTAATGATGCAATACGACTCAGTTGAGTATATCACAATGATGTTGTGACCTGCAACAACCAAAATATTTTGTCATTATCTGAAAACCTAACAATACAAAATGCAGCACATAGTTAATTTACAGAATGGTAGTATACAGCAAAGTATAAAACAATATTATTTTTAGCATCACCAACCTGTCGAATAATTTTGTATATGCAGTTTAAATGCATGAGAATCAAAAGAGTAATAGGATGTGATGTACCAGGATTTGACAAGGTTTTTTGTTTGAGGGAAGTAAAGAGATTAGTTAGTCAAGAAACCAGTTAGTCAAGATGAATCAAGATTCATTAATCATGTTGTCCTAAGGAAAGTAAAGAACAGGAACATGACACAGAAAATGTAAAGTAGGCCTAATGCTACAAAAGAAATAAAAACTCAGTGTATAAAAAATGTATAATTTTAAGCTATTTTAGTGAAAACTGCTTGTCAAACAAATCAGTACATCCAGAGATATAGAGAGTATAATTTATAAATATATCTATCTATATATATATATATATATATATAACTTTTCATTGAAAAACATGCTTTGACCCAACCCCTCGGACTTTGTCTTTGTATTGATTAGTGAGGTTGCCCATCAGGAAACTGGTAGAAAGGAATGGGTGGGGCCATGCCTGTTTTAGAAAAGATAAAAATTCTTATATAATTTAATTCTGTACTTGTTTATCTGTAGCTCTCTCTCCTCTACGGGCTCCTAACACACACATTTTACACAGTGTTTCTAATGTCATACACTGTACAATGCAGTGTCGTCTGAGACCTGAGTGGGGGGGGGGGGGAAGAACACACCCACCTTTGCACAGCCTCATAGGAAAACATGCATGGCTGATGCTTTCAATCACATGCTGTGTCCTGGAGGGGGCGAGGCCATCTCCCAGAATGGCTTGGTGTCAGCACAGACTCTTAGAAATGACTTATTCAGATAGCAGAAGGACAGAGCAGACAGAAATCATACCAGATGCTTTGGATAGGGACACCCCATACACTCTATAGAAGGATTTATTTTCTTTTTCATTTCAGAGGTTTAAAACCTTTATTGGAGATTGGATGGGGAAATTAGAGCATTCTTACCATATAATATCCATTTAAACAAACCCACGGAGAGCCAAATTCCAGTGAAAAAATAATTTCCAAAATATCAGTAGATCCAGAGATACAGTATAAGCAGAACCAAATTCCACATAGGGATAAAGGGAATATATATATCATGTTTATCTGCCCTTGTTTCTATCCATTTAAATGCATGTGCCTCCACTGTGAGGACTCTTTAGACTTGTAGAGTTAGGACCACAGATACTCAGGGTGCCGTGACGCGGCTCTGTGGCTTACGTATGTATTTGCAAATGTGTGCTAACTAAACCCCTGTTTTTAAACGCATGTTTCCAGACAGGTTAATTTGGTTTTTGATAGTTGGCTAACTGGCTGACAGTTTGAACTGGCTTTTCTTATCCCCCTTTGTTGATAAGATATACATATCCTTGTTCCTTGCCAACAAAAGCCGATATTAGATTGGGGTAGGCTGGCAAGTTGAACTGGATAGTTCTACTTTTTTGGAAATTTCTCACGTAGTGACAGCCCCCCATGTTCACTGTTTAAAAAGCCAGTTATAGACCTGGGCAGGTGATCAGTTTTTTCTTAATATATATAATATGCAATATTCAACACCAACACATATATAAAGTCATTCCATCTTTTCTACAAGCCATTCACTCCTCCTGCTTCCAGCTGATGACCAACTTCCCGCAGAGGGCAGCGCACCGTCACGCAGTTGGAGCAAGCTGAATCTCCCCAATGGAAGAGGACATATCTCAAATGATTCCCAGGGTGGGAAATCGGGAAAAGAGGGACAAGAAATCAGACTGGGGTACACCCCTCTTAACGGAATCCTCCTCCAATCCTATTGCCACCTATGTTACAGTGGAACTAAACCCACCGATTTAACTGAACTGACTGAAAAGAATATAGGGGTTTAGCTCCGCTTTAACTGACAATCATTTGACAAAAAATTAAGCATGTATACAGTATGCAAAAGTAAAAGTTAAACAGTAACTTGCCCATGCAGGGGTTCACCACCACAAAAAAATAATGCCAAGTCACCTGGCTCCATCTTCAGCAGTGCCGCTGCTCTTTTCATTTGGTTTGGATTTGGTCCCTCAAGCTGTCTCACTGAACTCTCCTGTGTCTCTGTGCTCTCCTGGCTTGTTCAGCCCCTGTATATTTAGCACCCTGCTGCATGGGCCTACTCCCTGGCACCCGGGATCTCTAATTCCTCCAGTCTTCCAGATTACCACAGTTCCCTGGATTCGCCTAGTCGTCCTGGATTTTCCATTCTCCTGGACTTGCTTAGCTACCTCAACCCTTTCAGTCTTGTGGGTAAGGAATATCTCCTCCAGCATGCAGTGCTGGCTTTCAGTTGAGCACCTCTTCTAATGGGAGCCCACACCTGTCCCCTAATGGGAGTATGCTTGTCTCTTGGATAGAGCATAGACCTGTCTCCTGAAGGGAGCCCTGAGCTATTCCCTGACCTCGCTTATAACAAGTGTACATACCTGCACACTCATATTGCCTGCAGGTCTCCATTAAGAACAGGTCACGGGATTTAAGGCTTCTTCCGGCCCAAAACTCTTCAAAGCCTTTGGACTCTACGCTCTGATCCAGGATTATAAAACCCAGAAAAACTAAAAATCCAGTTTTCTCCACTCAGACAACACTCTGGAGTCCCTCAAGCTGTATCCTTGAGAACCTTGTGTGTTCTACCTATACTCACACAATGGCAAGGCCTAGCACTGTCACTAGCACAGTGAGTGTATATGTATATATATATATATATATATATATATATATATACACACTCAACGGCCACTTTATTAGGAACACCTGTTCAATTGCTTGGTAACACAAATTGCTAATCAGCCAATCACATGGCAGCAACTCAATGCATTTAGGCATCCAGGCATGGTGAAGACGACTTGCTGAAGTTCAAACTGAGCATCAGAATGGGGAAGAAAGTGGAGAAAGTGACTTTAAACGTGGCATGGTTATTGCTGCCAGACGGGCTTGTTTGAGTATTTCAAAAACTGCTGATCTACTGGGATATTCACACACAATCATCTCTAGGGTTTGCAGAGAATGGTCTGAAAAATAGAAAGTATCCAGTGAGTGGCAATTGTGTGGACGAAAAATGCCTTGCTGATGTCAGAGGTCAGAGGAGAATGGACAGACAGGATCAAGATGATGGGAAGGCAACAGTAACTCCAGTCAATATGGACCAAAATCTCTAAGGAATGTTTCCAACACCTTATTAAATCTGTGCCACAAAGAATTAAAGCACTTCTGAAGGCAAAAGGGGGTTTAAATGTAAAATGGTTATTTATTATAGGTATTTATATAACCCATAAATATATGTAGTGCTTCACATAATATACATGCACAACAGTTATGCCCCCAAGGAGTTTACAATCTAAGCAAGAAATTATTTAACTAAATTGATTTTGAAAAATGGAACATTTTTTTTTCTTCAGACCCAGATATTCTACAGCTTTTAACCTATATATTTGCAGATCTGAGTGTAACAACCTATGCCATTTCCACCTATGTTTGGTATGTTAACCACTTCTAGTCCGGACACTTTTACCCCCTTCCTGACCAGGGCAGTTTTCAGCGCTATCACACTTTGAATGACAATTGCGCGGTCATGCAACACTGTACCCATATGAATTTTTTACCATTTTTTTGAGACAGATAAAGCTTTATTTTGGTGGTATTTATTCACCGCTGGGATTTTTTATTTTTTTTGCTATGTAAATGAAAATGTCCAAAAAATTTTTAAAAAAGTGTTTTTCTTATAAAATTTTGCAAATAAATAATATTTCATCATAAATCTTGGCCAAAATTGATTGCGTTATCTTTGTAGTAAAAAAAATAAAATAAGCCAAATTAGTTTATAACCAAATATTATAATTTTTAAACATTTTTTTTACATTTTTTTTTTAATATTATTATTTATTTTTATTATTATATTTTTTTTTACATACAGTCACCCTAGCAGTACAGTGTCACCATGGTGATACTGTACTACTTTTGGGGGGTGATGAAGATTTTTTTTTTTTTTTACACTGATTGCTTTTACACCCATAAAGGCTGTAAAAGCAATCATTTCTCTCTTTCTGTCTGCATTCTTGCAGCCATTGAGAACTACTGAGTGAGCTGTGATTGGTCACAGCTTGTCACATGGTACAAGGCTGTTGTGAATAGCCTTGTACCATGTGACCTCTGTGATCATTCACAGATTTCACTATTTTGCATGTGATCACTGATTGGCCAATCGGTGATCACATGATCGGGACCTCGTACAGAGGTCCCGTCCGACGATCGGTGTTTCACTGTGTCCGGAGGACACAGCGGGCACCGGATCGCAGTGCTGCGCGCTCCCGGGGAGCGCTCACAAGCAGGGTGCGGGGAGGCCGTCTATAAATGGCCACCTGACCCTGCAGTGCCACCATCCCACCGTTTATATACAACGGCCGGTCGGGAAGTGGTTAATATGGACCGATGTAAATAATTTCTTTTTGGATGGGTCATATCCATGATTGTAAGCAAAATGATGTTACATAGTTAGTATGGCTGAAAAAAAGACAAAAGTCCATCCAGTTCAACCATTAGAAAAAAAATTACAATCCTATACCCACAGTTGATCCAGAGGAAGGCAAAAAAACCCAGCAAAGCATAATCCAATTTGCTCCTGCAGGGGAAAAAATTCCTTCCTGATCCCCGAGAGGCAATCGGATATTCCCTGGATCAACTTTACCTATAAAGATGTGCTACTGGAAAACCTAAGTCTCTATCTTTATAACATAAACATTGTCCTATATCATTCTACGTAGTTCCCTTTTTATCTAGCTTGCATAAGCAGTACATTCACAAAACATTAAATTATTATGAAGCAATATTAAAAAAATTTTGATATAAATAGTTCCTCATTTTGGTATCTAATTTGCTAGACTTCCCAATGGGATTCTACAGTATATAACTTTTGGTGGCAAATTGTGGAAATGTTATTGCTGAGGTAGTAATAAAGCATATTTAACAGGACTTATTCTTTAATATAGAAGATTCATAACTCATCCAGATACCTTCCTCAGCACTAAACAGAGTCAGGAATATTCTGCAGCATTTCTAGCCACATGGGTAACTAAGTCACCTTAATCCTATCACCATGGAGTCATAAATTGTGTCTAGACAGATACTGATTGTCAGGGAGGTGCTGGCCATAGTACAGATGAAGCTCCAAGGCACATACAGATGCGCAGGCGCAGGTCTGTGGGTGCCCGTTTTGCTGTGCATGGCCATGCGCATATGCGTGTGCTTGTGTGCATGTGTGGGCATGCGCAGCTGTCACTGGAAATGGTGCCAAAGGGACTATTTAAGTTCAGCAGTTGTACTAGTCAGTGCTGTCTGATCTGAAGCTCTTCCTGTGTTCCTGTGTCCGTTCCTGTACTTGACTCTTGTGAATGACCTGGCTTGTCCTGAGCAAGCTTGACTCCTACCTGCACTGACCTTGGTTTGCCTTTTGCTCATCTGCCTGCTGCAGTATTCTGACCTCAGAATGTACACTGACCATTATTTTGCCTGCTGTCCATGGCTATATCTGACTGTCTGTTGCTGACCTGGCTTGCCTGACCACATCCTGATTATCCATCTGCTCAGCGTCCTCTTTTCAGCATGCTACTCACCTGGTGACCTGATGACCAACAATGGTCATCCACCTGCCTACCTATCTCCCTACCCTGCCTACCTATCTCCCTACCCTGCACCTGCGACCAGTCATCTGACAGCCAAGCAACTGCCAGCCCGCTGTCTGCCAAGTTCAGGGTCAGCTCCTCCTGCTGTCATCCACTGCATTGTCCATTTGATCCATTCCTGGCAAAGCACTTGCTTCTCACCTTTGTGGTCTGTTGGATACTCTACAGGCACTCTTACCTCCCTGTGCTCTTGTGGCCACTGTCTCGCTACCAGTGGCCCCTGAGCCAAGGCTGTAAAAGAGGCTTCCCTCTACACGTCAGGGTCTATCAGGTACATAACACTGATATTCTGAGAACAGGATGAGAGATGTAAAAGCTTGTGAAATACCATGTTCTAATTACATAAACTAGCCTCCATGGTGATGGATAATGTGGGAAATGTTTGCATTACCTGGCTAAAGTTGTGCACTAAACTTAGGAAGCCACTTGGATGTGTGGAAAATGGACACCTATACAGAGAGCAGGGGCGGACTGACCATTTGGAAACTCGGGCACTGCCCGAGGGCCTGGGGTTAGTAGGGGGCCCCATGAGATACCCCTGGTACCTTTTTCATAGGCTTTTTTGAGTTTAGTCAAGGACACAGGGGCCCCATGATCCCCTATTGCCCGGGGGCCCCATGAGTTGTCAGTCCGCCCCTGACAGAGAGTATATTTTTGACAGAAAAATAATTTTATCCTTCCAATCAGAGAACGTTTCCTTTTACTAACTGTCCTAGGAGAGGCAGGGTCCACTATATTGGGAACAATATGCTTTATTAACACACTATTCTAAGTTTAAAGTGGAAGTCCAGTGAAAACTTTTCTAATCTTAAGGCTACGTTCACACTAGCGTTGTGTGCAGGCGGCAGAGAGGCGTTTGGGAAGTGTTTTTACCGCTTCCCAAATGCCTCTGGCAATTCTGCACATTGCAGCACATGGTGCTGTTCTAACAGGAGCGTTTGCATCGCGTTGCGTCGCGGCAAAACGGACGCCTCTGGTCGAGTCAGGAGGCGTTGAAGCCTCCTATTCTCGTCTATGGTGCCGCTCCGCAAACGCCCGGCTGGCGTTTGCGGTGCGGTTGCGACGCGGTTGCGGGGCATTTGCGGAGCGGTAAAACCACTCAAACTGCATTATAGGCGTTTGTGGGGCGTTATTAATGCTCGTAAAACGCCTAGCAACCGCCGCTAAACCGCGCATGCGGCGTTTGCGGAGCGTTAAAAAATGCTCCGCAAATGCCGGACCAACGCTTGCCAAACGAAATAGGGGCGTTTGGCAAGCGTTGGTAAAACAGCCAAGTGCGAACGAGCCCTAAACCTGCTCCCACCCCTATTCTAATTCCTTTACTAACTACCTGAAGAGGAAAGAGGTCTATACTTACCTAATCTAAGGACACTCCAGTCCGGTCCTGTGATCAACTCCCAGTGCCAGCTTCAGGTTAGAGGAGGGACAGCCAACAACAGATGTCCCATAGTAAGCCTATGGGTGATGTCACCGCTCAGACAATGCAGCCTTTTTTGGTGATTTCTCCTCCTACCTGAGTCCAGCGCTGGTAGCCGATCACATGACCAGGCCAGAGCGCCTTTAGATTAGACAAATATACACATCTTTCCTCTACAGGCTAGTTAGCATAGGGATTACTGTCTAATGGGGCTGGGAGCAAGTTTAAGATTAGATTAGGTTTAGACTGGACTTGCACTTTAATTATGCTGAGTCAATAGTATCAGCATATTATAACATACATATGAAGTCTGATAACTGAGACACAGAATACATTAGACATTGGATTCAGTACAGAAAGCTAATCAATATGAGAGACTACGAGACCTGAGGGACACATTTCAGCCTTCGCTTGTTGACAAGCAAAGGCTTGTAGGCCAATCCAACACCAATTACCTATCATAGCATCTTTACAAGAAAAGTGCTAAGAGCATGTTCTAAAAAAGTTTTTCTGCTAAGAATGACCAAACCACATAACCTCACATCATACGAGGTGGTATCAAAAAGTTTCAAGACTAGTTATGTAGCATGCAACAGATGGCAGCACAAGGCTGCATGTACAATCACAGGGAGCACCAGCCTTCATAAGTCAGTGTGCCAAAAGACATCATCCTGTGTGCATCAGGAACTGTGCAACCGTTGCTATTCTGGCCACGTGCACTATTGCACGTCTGCTATTTTCTGCTATTTTCTGCTATTTTCATCATGGACAGCAAGTTAGAACAAGAGCAAACGTGTGAAACTCGTAAACCCAAGTTTCGTCACTGGTAATGATCCGTGACATGAAGGATGGGTCATCTACGGCACACCAATGAAGTTCTTAGCAGACTTCAGTTGTACAGCTCCCGATGTACACAGGACAATGTTTTTTTGGCACACTGACTTATGAAGGTCGGTGCTCCCTGTGACTGTGCATGCATCCTTGTTCTGTCATCTGTTGGTGTGTTACAAAATTAGTCTCAAACCTTTTTGATACCACCTTCTATATAAAAGATGATGATTAATAAGTACACTGCTCAAAAAAATTAAAGGCACATTTTGAAAACACACCAGATTTCAATGGGGAAAACTATCATGCTGGATATCTATACTGATATGGACTGGAAATGTGTTAGGAATGTAAGGATGCCCCATCGTTTGATGGAAATAAAAATTATCAACCTACAGAGGACTGAATTCAAAGACACCCCAAAAATCAAAGTGAAAAAATGATGCAGCAGGCCAGTCCATTTTGCTGAAATTTCATTGCAACTCAAAATGGTGCTACCTGGCCAGAGAACATAGTATTGTGTATTATGTCCAGAAGGCAACCAAGTACTTGTAGACCTGCATGCCTTAAAGGAACAGGGATGCTGTAGTTGAAGCTACACTAGCCTGCTATTATCCCTGACCACTCATACAAGAGCAAGCATTACAGATTGAAGGAAAAAGATGGAAATGATGAGTGAGGGGATAAAATAGGAGATTGTGAGTGAGGGTAAAAGATGGATGTGACCACTGAGGACATAAGACAGGAGGTGATGCGTGTCAGAATAAGATGGAAGATTATGAGTGCGGGTATAAGATAAGAGATGATGAGTGAGGGATACGGTGGAAGATGATGAGCAAGGAGATATAACGGGAGATGGTGAATGGCGGGATAAGATGGGAGATGAAGGGATAAGAGGGGAGAAGATCAGTGAGGGGATAAGATGATACATTATGGTTAGAGATGAGCGAATCGAACTTGGCGAAGTGGAATTCGTTTCGAAGATTAGGAAAAATTTTCCAAAAATGGCGGCGACATGTGTGGCGACGGAGCGGGGATCTCTGGGAAGGCACGCAAACAAGGCACGCTGACCCATAATGCATTCATTCATGACATGTGATCGCATTAGCCAATCAGCAGCCAGCCAGCCAGCACTGTGTAATGGTCGAGCTATAAATTGCGGCCATCTTAGAATTCTCCATTAGCCTCCGGTCATTCAAGAGAGACAGACCTCTCTGTATTAGGGACAGAGTTAGGGCCACAGAGACTTTAGGGACACAGAATTGTTACTTAGGGACACAGAATTGTTACTCAGGGACACAGAACTGTTACTCAGGGACACAGAATTGTTACTCAGGGACAGACACAGAATTGTTACTGAGGGACACAGAATTGTTACTGAGGGACACAATTGTTACTGAGGGACACAGAATTGTTACTGAGGGACACAGAACTGTTACTCAGGGACACAGAACTGTTACTCAGGGACACAGAACTATTACTCAGGGACACAGAACTGTTACTCAGGGACACAGAACTGTTACTCAGGGACACAGAATTGTTACTCAGGGACAGACACAGAATTGTTACTGAGGGACACAGAATTGTTACTGAGGGACACAGAATTGTTACTCAGGGACACAGAATTGTTACTCAGGCACAGACACAGAATTGTTACTCAGGGACACAGAATTGTTACTGAGGGACACAGAATTGTTACTGAGGGACACAGAATTGTTACTCAGGGACACAGAACTGTTACTCAGGGACACAGAATTGTTACTCAGGGACACAGAACTGTTACTCAGGGACACAGAATTGTTACTCAGGGACAGACACAGAATTGTTACTGAGGGACACAGAATTGTTACTGAGGGACACAGAATTGTTACTCAGGGACACAGAATTGTTACTCAGGGACACAGAACTGTTACTCAGGGACACAGAAATGTTACTCAGGAACACAGAACTGTTACTCAGGGACACAGAATTGTTACTCAGGGACAGACACAGAATTGTTACTGAGGGACACAGAATTGTTACTGAGGGACACAGAATTGTTACTAAGGGACAAAGAATTGCTACTCAGGGACACAGAATTGTTACTCAGGGAAACAGAACTGTTACTCAGGGACAAAGAACTGTTACTCAGGGACACAGAATTGTTACTCAGGGACACAGAACTGTTACTCAGGGACACAGAATTGTTACTCAGGGACAGACACAGAATTGTTACTGAGGGACACAGAATTGTTACTGAGGGACACAGAATTGTTACTCAGGGACACAGAATTGTTACTCAGGGACACAGAATTGTTACTCAGGGACACAGAACTGTTACTCAGGGACACAGAATTGTAACTCAGGGACACAGAACTGTTACTCAGGGACACAGAATTGTTACTCAGGGACAGACAAAGAATTGTTACTGAGGGACACAGAATTGTTACTGAGGGACACAGAATTGTTACTCAGGGACACAGAATTGTTACTGAGGGACACAGAACTGTTACTCAGGGACACAGAATTGTTACTCAGGGACACAGCACTGTTACTCAGGGACACAGAATTGTTACTCAGGGACAGACACAGAATTGTTACTGAGGGACACAGAATTGTTACTGAGGGACACAGAATTGTTACTGAGGGACACAGAATTGTTACTGAGGGACACAGAACTGTTACTCAGGGACACAGAATTGTTACTCAGGGACACAGAACTGTTACTCAGGGACACAGAATTGTTACTCAGGGACAGACACAGAATTGTTACTGAGGGACACAGAATTGTTACTGAGGGACACAGAATTGTTACTCAGGGACAGACACAGAATTGTTACTGAGGGACACAGAATTGTTACTCAGGGACACAGAATTGTTACTCAGGGACACAGAACTGTTACTCAGGGACACAGAATTGTTACTCAGGGACACAGAACTGTTACTCAGGGACACAGAATTGTTACTCAGGGACAGACACAGAATTGTTACTGAGGGACACAGAATTGTTACTGAGGGACACAGAATTGTTACTCAGGGACACAGAATTGTTACTCAGGGACACAGAACTGTTACTCAGGGACACAGAATTGTTACTCAGGGACAGACACAGAATTGTTACTGAGGGACACAGAATTGTTACTGAGGGACACAGAATTGTTACTCAGGGACAGACACAGAATTGTTACTGAGGGACACAGCATTGTTACTGAGGGACACAGAATTGTTACTCAGGGACACAGAATTGTTACTCAGGGACACAGAATTGTTACTCAGGGACAGACAAAGAATTGTTACTCAGGGACAGTCACAGAATTGTTACTCAGGGACACAGAATTGTTACTCAGGGACAGACACAGAATTGTTACTCAGGGACACAGAATTGTTACTCAGGGACAGACACAGAATTGTTACTAAGGGACACAGAATTGTTACTCAGGGACACATAATTGTTACTGAGGGACACAGAATCGTTACTCAGGGACACAGAATTGTTACTCAGGGACACAGAATTGTTACTCAGGGACACAGAATTGTTACTCAGGGACACAGAATTGTTACTGAGGGACACAGAATCGTTACGTTATTTTTGGGTGCTTATAGAATTAAAGAGTATGTCAGACAACACGCAGAGGAGTGGCAGAGGAGGCAATGTTTCAGGAGTGAGCAGACGTGGCAGCAGAGGAAGGGTCGAGGCAGCACTAGTCGCAGCCAGAGGCCAGTGCTCCCGGTGTCATCCAGCGGTCGTGTCTCCACCGACAACCCTGCCGTCATCGATTGGTTGGCTCGGTCGTCTTCCTCTTCCCAGGTCACCTCTGACACCTACAGCCAATGGTCGGTGGGTACGTCAGACACAACCGTTAGTTGGCATGGCCCGGGAGCAAGCCCACTGAAATCACGTGTCCTCTACCTGCCCCTGTCCTTTGGTGTTCCCTCACCAAGCGAAGTATCGCATGCTGTGGCTCAGCCCCACTGTACAGTGAGGAAGAGCTAACAGAGGGCGGTCAGGAACGGGGGGAGACATCCGCCTCTTCAGCAGCCAGGCGAAGAAGTACTGGCGAGGAGAGTGGCTCGGTAGCCGGTCTAGAGACAGGTCTGTCTCCTGACCCACACGCAGCCGAGGGGGCTAGTAGTGAGGCGAAGACCCTAATTGATGATGATGAGGCTGATCGCACTTGGCAGCCTCGTCGTCATCAGGCTATTGCTTCCGCATCATCAGGAGAAGAGGGTGCCAGCTTGGCAGCGAGCAAAACAGTCGGTGGGTTTGCCCAGGAGGCAGCAGGGTCGCAGCAGTGTCAGTGGAGGCAAATGGCCACGGCGTAGAGCACCAGCTCCACTGCTGGTGGGTTCCATTTTGTCATAGGGTGCTGGCAGATTACGGGCCTCCCATTGCTGCTGCCAGGCCCCGTAATCTGCCATGGGCCCCCCGTACCGACTCCTCATGCTGCTGCCAGGCCCGTAATCTGTCATGGGCCCCTGAACCGCCTCCTCATGCTGCTGCCAGGTCCAGAGTGTCTCATGGGACCCTGTACGCCTCCCATTGCTGCTGTCTCCATCGCCACACTCTGCCATGTGCCACTTTCAGGTCTCCTCACACTGCTGGTGGGTTCCATTTTTGTCATAGGGTGCTGGCAGATTACGGGCCTCCCATTGCTGCTGCCAGGCCCGTAATCTGCCATGGGCCCCTGTACCGCCTCCTCATGCTGCTGCCAGGTCCAGAGTAACTCAAGGGTCCCTGTACGGCCTCCCATTGCTGCTGTCTCCATCGCCACACTCTGCCATGTGCCACTTTCAGGTCTCCTCACACTGCTGGTGGGTTCCATTTTGTCATAGGGTGCTGGCAGATTACGGGCCTCCCATTGCTGCTGCCAGGCCCGTAATCTGCCATGGGCCCCCGTACCGACTCCTCATGCTGCTGCCAGGCCCGTAATCTGTCCATGGGCCCCTGTACCGCCTCCTCATGCTGCTGCCAGTCCAGAGTGTGTCATGGGTCCCTGTACGGTCTCCCATTGCTGCTGTCTCCATCGCCACACTCTGCCATGTGCCACTTTCAGGTCTCCTCACACTGCTGGTGGGTTCCATTTTGTCATAGGGTGCTGGCAGATTACGGCCTCCCCATTGCTGCTGCCAGTGCCCGTAATCTGCCATGGGCCCCTGTACCGCCTCCTCATGCTGCTGCCAAAGTCCAGAGAGTGTCATGGGTCCCTGTACGGCCTCACACCATATGCTGCTGTCCTCCATCGCCACACTCTGCCATGTGCCACTTTCAGGTCTCCTCAACACTGCTGGTGGGTTCCATTTTGTCATAGGGTGCTGGCAGATTACGGGTCTCCCAATTTGCTGCTCCAGGCCCGTAATCTGGCCATGGGCCCCTGTACCGCCCACCTCATGCTGCTGCCAGGTCCATAGTGTCTCATGGTCCCTGTACGGGGGCCCTCCCATTGCTGCTGTCACTCCATCGCCACACTCTGCCATGTGCCACTTTCAGGTCTCCTCACACTGCTGGTGGGTTCCATTTTGTCATAGGGTGCTGGCAGATTACGGGCCCTCCCATTGCTCGCTGCCAGGCCCGTGACATCTGCCATGGGCCCCTGTACCGCACTCCATCATTTGCAGCCTTACAAGCCAGGTCACAGAGTGGCGCTGTCATGGGTCCCTGTACGGCCGTTCGACCTAGGACTAGACCTGTCCCTCTCACTCGCGTCACAACTCAGCCATGTGCCCCCTTCAGGTCTCCTCAAACACTGCTGGTCTGGTTCCATTTTGTCATAGGTGCTGGCAGATTACGGCCCCCA